ACCCGCGGGCTCAGGCAATCCACTCACCTCAGCCTCCCAAAGGCGCGGGATTACAGGCTGAGCCACTGAGCCCAGAAGAAAGTTTTTGAAAAAAATAATTACTCTTTTAAAAGAGTTTCACACAATCTCCTAAATTAATTCACCTAGAAAAATAGGCAAAAAAAAAAAAAAACCCAAAAAGCAAACAAAAAAAAACCCCAAATGGATGATCAACTATATAGATGATTTGGACAACTCAATGATCAGATTTGACCCAATAGTGACATATCATACTCGAAAACCACAGACTATTCCTTCTTTTCAAACACACACAGGACAAAAAAAACCCATATATTTGGAGATGAAGAAATATTTTGCTTACAGGTACACAAAATCAGCATGTCCACCCTACCCCAAACTGCCTCTCCTTTTCTTTCCTGTCTTGCTGAATGACATCACTCTCCACTTCATTTTCTAAAGCATCATTTTTGGACCCACTGACCTCACCTTAGTTCAAGCTTTCACCTATGATGCCTTTTTCTCTGCAATTTGTCTCTTCTCTCTGGTTTATGCTTCTCCTGTCTGCCACAGTATTTTTCTTTAACAATGTTTTGATCAGGTAAATACTTTATTTAAAAAATTTAAAGGACCTCCTCCCAAATTCCAACAGGTTGAAATCCAAACTCTGCAAGATGGCATTCAAATATCCTTGAATAGAGTCTCTACCTTTCTTTCTATCTATATTTGCCCGCGCACCCTCATGGTCTTTCATGCATCCAACTGTGCTAATTTAGTTGTATTTCTCTGAACATCCCTTCCTCTCTGGCTTTGCACATACCCATTTTTTAAAAAATCTGGAGTGACCTTTCTTACTGCTGATCCTCCTTACCTTTTCCCGTGTATCCTGGAAAACACAACTCAAGTTTGACCTTTCCCATGATGCCCTGCCTGGTCAGTCCTCATAATGTCACCCCCTCCCCCTTTTTAACTTACTGTCCTAGAATTATTTTCTATACTTTAGTTTTGTAAATTAACTTTTTAAATCACTGGCTTCTGGGTTAGACCATGATAGTATACAGAAACAGAAAGTTTATTCTTGCATATTAAGAAAAATTGTACTACTTTTAGAGAAAAGGCTTGAAACCAAAAATTGAGTAAATAGATAATATTAGAATTAATATGAAAGTTTAAAAATATTTTCTGAAAGAAGGAAGAAGGATCAGTCAACAGCTTGGTAAGGAAAAGGGAGACTAATGTTATTTTTAAAACACCAGATGGAATAACATATAAAAAATATAAGACTTGGCACATTTGGTGTGATAATCCTAAACTTTTTAGCATCTTGAAGAAAGGGCCCCCAGGTAGAGTTGCAGAGTTTTTATACTGCATAATTCACAAGAGTGTCATATACATGTAGTGAAGAATGGGATTGTGGTTTGAAGTGCAGTCCTGAGTGGTTGCACGGTTTCTTTGATCTAATGAATCATTAGGGCCCAGAAAATAATTTTAACTAATTATGAGATTTAAGAGTAATTAAGAAAAGCACTGTATTTTGTATACTCTAAATAAAGAGAAAAGCAGGTCACACCTTTAGGAAATTTCATAAAAAGTAAACAATTTAGAAACCTAATGCAGTAAGCTTTAATTGTATGTTAAAAAATAAAAATTATGCCAGGTAAATGAGCCATTGCAGTTAGTTGAAAACCACTCCCATATCTGGTATAATGTGCAAAGTTTGCTTAAAGTTTATATATGAATAGTATGACTTGAAACCGAAAAAGATTAGACCAATTTATTTAGAAAATAAATGTATAGATAACTGTGTTACCTATTTTATTAAATAACGGTACCTGGAAACCCAAGGCTGAGCCTTACATGGGATTAATTTGAATCCACTGACTTGAACCAATAGTATTATCTGCTTCAGATTCTCATTCTGGTTTGAAGGCCCAGCTTTAGTCTGCACTTCATATTCAGAGCATTTGGTTGCTGACAGTATAAACAAACGTAGTCATGACAATTTTATATTAACTCTGCTAGTTTCACCTGCAGTGCTTTTGTAAAGCTGTGAGGCTCATTCACTGCCCACACTCGGGAAATCACATTTCCCAGCCCAAGCTGAAATTCCTGAGCCTAAATATGTTTGCCACCCACCTCTTATACTATTCTCTATTGCTGCATGTGTTTTTAAAAATAGCTTCTCATCATAAAAATAGCCGTGGGCTTGCTGAGAGTCACATCTCTCATCTATGTTAACATTATCTTTTCTACAGATCCCCCTGCTGTGGAACCAGCATTCCTGGAAATCCGGCAAGGACAGGACCGAAGTGTCACTATGAGCTGCAGAGTGCTGAGAGCCTATCCAATACGGGTGCTGACCTATGAGTGGCGCTTAGGCAATAAATTATTACGGACGGGTCAGTTCGACTCTCAGGAGTACACAGAGTACCCAGTGAAGAGTCTTTCCAATGAAAACTACGGGGTTTATAATTGTAGCATCATAAATGAAGCTGGAGCTGGGAGATGCAGCTTTCTTGTTACAGGTAGGATTTTAAATATTTGGCTTTATATGTATATATGTATTTTAGACCAAGGGACTCTTAAGCTCATGTCAGTATAAGAATGAAAACATTTTGTAAATCAGTGGGGCATAGAGCAAGTTGCTCTATTTGGAGCTTGTACTCATTCATTCTCAAAACAAGTCTATTTTAATAAACTAGTGATATGCCTATACAATTATACAGAAGTTTATTCAAATACAAGTGGACTTAGTGATGAGGTTGGTTAGTTTAAGTATTTCAATAACAAAGAAACAAACTGTAATGATAACTAGCTTTATTCAGAACAAATTGCAAATTTTAGACAAAAATTTTTCTTCTACAATTCTAAAATCACTTGTGAATGGACACCAGCTCAGGTTTCTTTAACACTAGAGTGTGAGTGTGTGTGTTTTAATTTTTGATTTATTTACTACCTCTCTATTTTGTGTTTGGCTTGCCATATGTTCACAAACATTCCAAGGAAAAGCAATACAGCTGTCTCTGGCACATAATAAGTTAGGTAGAAGTATTGACACTTTTGATGCCCTTGTCTTTTAAATGTTTTCTCTGTGTTAAGTCTTACATATTTATTTAAATTATTTTTACAATCTGTATACTGAAGTGTTATTCTTGAGTTATGATTTAAGCATGCATTAAAAAGAAATACTTCTAATTGTTTTTTTGTTTTGTTTTGTTTTGTCCTGGGTAGTTAGTTGTAATAGTTAATGTGTCATGCTAGTAAAAGAAGAAGGTGGATGTTGTATATTATATTTAAAGCAATTATAAAAATGATATAAATGCTTCAGACTTAAAATTAGTTTATTAATAATACAAATTCTTAGCGATTCTAGCACTTTTGAGCTAACTCTTTAGATATGAATTGTCTTGAGCCTTTTTGCTTCCTAAAATGTAATCTTAGGTAGATAGAGTACAATTGACTAATGAAAGAAACTTCTAAGTTTTACAATTCCTTATTAAAGTTCAGTTGAATTTAAGTCTTTTCTATTTTGATTCTTTTTTTTTTTTTTTTTTTTTTTGAGTTGGAGTCTCACTCTGTCGCCCAGACTGGAGTGCAGTGGCCGCTCCCGGCCACCGCAGCCTCGACCTGCTGGGCTCTGGCGATCCTTCCGCCTCAGCCTTCCAAGTAGCCGGAATTACAGGTGTGCACTACCTCGCCCGGCTGATTTTTTGATTTATTGTAGAGATGAGGTCTCGCTGCCCAGGCGAGTCTCGAACCCGCGAGCTCAGGCAATCCACTCATCCTTAGCCTCCCAAAGGCGCGGGATTACCACAAAGCCAAAAGTCCTTAGGACAACATTACTCACATGAGGATGACCCCACAAAAGACATGCCTATGTCCTGATCCCTGGATCATGAGAATATTATCTTATATGCAAAAGATGTGATTTATTAAGTTAAGGATTTTGAGAGAGTTTATCCTGGAACCTCTGGGTGGGCCTTAAATGCAATAACATGTATCCTTACAAAAGAGAGGCAGGAATAGATACGAGAAAGAAGAGAAGGAGGCAGTGTAAGTATTTAATAACGCAGCCACAAGCAAAAGAACCCGTGGAACCACCTTAAGCTGTAAAGGGCAAGGAATACCAACTATTCTCAGTTTTATTATCCTAAGCTGGCTAGGCCCTTGAGTCATGGGAACAAATTTCTTACAGTTCAGCAGAGTTGTAAACAAGGGTTGCTTTTACCTCCTAGAGAGTTAATTGGAACAGGCTTACAGCCACAAGTGGTAGAATCTGTAAAGAAAAGCAACCTGGGAGGTCTCACTGGCCACCTACATCAGTAATCTGCATTGGTTTAACCTATACATTGACAAAGATACCAAGGAGTGCTTCAACATTGAAATGTTATACATATTACACAATTACAGTGGGGACAAGGTGTTTCCAGCAGCTTGATTATGGAGGGAACCATATAAGAGTATCTGTTGGAAAATTCTGTTGACTGTACCAGAGATTAATGAAGACACACTTTTACTCTTTTTTTAAGCAAGAACAACCAGGCAATTTGCAGTAAAATGCAGCATTAATTTATAAAGTTTTAAATTATCCATAGCTTTCAAATTGTTCTCATTGTGTTTCCTAAATACTTAGCAATCGTGATATTAGTTTTAAGCTATTCTAGCTATGTTCCCACTAGTCATACTTTCATATTTCTTTCCTCTAATATATTTTTTTCTGACAAAATGTTTCTAATGACATGTTTATAGGTGTCAGGTGACAAAGAGAGTTATTGGCAAGTCAGACAAGGAGATGAGTAATATGAAAAAAGGATTTTTTTCCTGTTTCAGTTTTTTGACTAATTTTCGTAAAGAAAATGTGAAAACGCTCATGTAACAACATAAGCATGGATATATATTATGTTAGAATTTAGGAGCAAAATAAGCTGGCAATCATGTTCCCTATACAATCCAAGAGATCAATGTAGAATGCCCTTCTAACTTCTAGAAAGTATCTGTTCACAGTTATGTATACTTAGCTTTATAAAACATTTAAGAATTTGATCAATGGAGATAATTTTAGCTTCTTTCAAATGAAAAATAATAAAGCAACTGTGTCTTTTTCAAAAGGTAACCAGAGAAATATAGTCTATAATTCTTCTATTGCACAACCATAAATTATAATTGGCTATGAAACAACCAATACATACTGTCTCTCAACTAATAAAAATTTATAATTAAGCCAGGTGTGGTGGTTCATGCCTATAATCCCAGCACTTTGGGAGGCCGAGGTGAGAGGATTGCCTGAGCTCATGGGTTTGAGATCAGCCCAGGAAACTTGTTGAGACCTCATCTCTACAATAAATAAAAAAAATTGCTGGGCATGGTGGCACATGCCTGTAGTTCCAGCTACTTGGAAGACCAAGGTGGAAGGATAGCCTGAACCCAACAGGTCCAGGCTGCAGTGGCCATGAGCGTGTCACTGCACTTCAGCCTGGGCAAAGAAGTGCAACTCCAACTCAAAAAAAAAAAAAAAGAAGGCATTTAAGAAATATTTACTGTGTACCTACTAAGTTAGTTCCAGGTACTAGATTAAACATCATAAATAGAGCAATAAATACTCTCTCTCAAAACCATTCCAGTTTTAAACTTGTATAGTATCTTGAAACTAGAATTATATTTCTATTCCTTTTGCCCTTGTTAAGTCGTCTATTATTTTCTGGGATATTGCAGCAGTCTTTTATTTGATCCCTGGGCTCTATCCCCTTTATCTCTCTGTTCATTTTTCCTATTTCTGGGTTTTGCTTTCCTAGAAGACTTATTTTAAGTGAGAAATGCTAATTAGCCTGTAAGAGGACATGGAAATTCTTCATTGTCATAATTATTCAAACCGTTCATTAATATCTCAAAAAACATATATAGCATCATGTCTCCTTCAATTCTACCAGTAACTGCAAACTCAATTCAAATTAGACTATTGCCTTCCACCAAATCATTACATATTTTCAGGATTCTGTACCTTTTTCACATGTTACTTTATTTTATAACACTAGTCCTTTGTGTATTCTTCTGTAGTGTCCTGGTGAACTTTGTTTGTGACTTTACCAGGGTTATGTTGATCTTTGCTCTTCAGTCAAATAAAAAAGTGCAGACTGTGATAATATTTTATGACTCATAAATTAATTTTATATGTTGATATTTGTAGAGCATCTTAATGTGTCAATAAACTCCAAGTAAACATGATTTAAACTGGATAGAAAATTATTTCACTCAGGTTAAGGCATAGATGTCATTTCAGGAAGTAACGTAATGTTTCTGTTCTGCAAAGTCCTCATGGATTCAGGCTTTTTCTATCTTATTGTTCAACCATTATCAATAAATACCGCATCTCATTGTCCTAATGGCTACTTAAATTCTAGCTATTACTTCCATATTTTATCCCAAACTAAAAGCATACTCTTTCTTTTTGAGGACAGTTCCCCCAAATTTCAGACACCCTTTCTGCTTGCATCTCATTGGCAATAACTTTGCCTACAATAAAGGCCATGGTTATATATATATATATATGGTCTTGAGAACATTAAATCACATTTTATTTTATTATACATATTTTAAGTTGCCCTTATTAAATATATTACAATGAAATTAAAATGAGATTGTCAAGGAAAATCTTGGATCTATGGTTTTTATCTCAGTTAGCTCCTTGCCATTAATGATAGTCAGACCCTCTTTTCAGGAACCATGGGCATTTAGAGCCTTGGTATAATTTTAAAAGATAATAAGAGGTTTAATTATAGACTTTTAAAAGATTTTACTGCTACACACAGTGGAATTGAGGGTGCTGTACTGGTTACTTATTTTTGCATAAGAAATTGCTACTTAACAGCTTTAAGCAACACATACTTATTATATCATGATTTCTGGGTGTCAGGATTCCAAGCATGGTTTAAAACTAGATCCTCTTTTCCAGGGTCACAAGACTGAAATCAGAATGTTTGTAGGGGTGGTGTTTATCTAAAGACTCAACTGAGGAAGGAATCTCTTCCAAGCTTTTTCAAGTTACTGGAAGAATTCATGTCTTTGTGTTTATATGGTTGAGGACCCTGGCATTTACTGGTTATTGACTAAAGGGTAACCTGGGGCTCTAGAATACAATATGCCTGCAGATCCTAAAAGCTACCCACAACTCTTTGTCACATGGGATTCTCAAATATGGCTGCTTATTTCATTGGGCCCACAAGAAGAATCTCCAGCTTTAGTCTGCTAAAATGGAATCTGAAGTGACATTTCGACATTTTGGCTAGATTCTATTATTAAGAAAGAAGTCACAGTTTTCCCTTACACTTAGGGAATTACGCAAAGGGAAGAAAACCAGTAGGTGGAAATCACTGGAGTCACCTTAGGATCCGTCTGCTGCAAGAACCAGTATTTTCTGCCACTAGGAGTCCTTTGTGAATTTAGCCTACATGTGAATGAAACTGCTATATCCATTGAAAATAGTTAACTAGCCGGCTCGGTGTCTCAGCCTGTACTCCCGCGCCTTTGG